GCAGGGCGGTCTGAGTCTCAACCCTGGCTAGCACTCAAAACAGTTCACTGTGTCCCTTTCTTAGGCACAAGGCCTTTCCACCAGCCTGGTCTGGGGCTCTGCTAATTCAGGATCTTTATCTTCTGAGCTCAAAGGGTCCTCCCAATAGCAGGTCTGGGAAAACACCCCTCAGGGCACAGAATGAGCACTCAGCAGTCAGCAGCACTAGATTTTTTTTCTTTTGGCAGCTGGCCAATACAGGGGTCTGAACCTGTGACCTTGGTGTTACCAGCACCGCACTCTCCCAAGTGAGCTAACCAGCCAGCCCAGCACTAGAATTTTGACTGGTCTGAGTTCCAAGCAAGTTGCCTGTGACAAATGTGCCTTGATAGGCCAGACACATAGCAGGTTCCCCGCAAGTATCTTCAGATCTAACAAGAGAGCCAGCCAGGATGGAGTCCTGCAGGCTTAATCATTTTAACAGGCATTCAAGACACGCTTCCTGAATGCCAGTTCTCCATGGGCCCTGGCTCAGGACAGGTGTTCTGACCACGCCAATTCAAGATGCAGGGACTAAGACAGGAAAGCACAGGGTATCTGGGCCCCCAGCCCATGAGGAAAGATGGCTCAGGGAAGGCTTCCTGGAGCCAGTGCCTGCCTCAGCTGGGTCTTGAAGGGCAAGGAGGCCTTAACACCAGAAAGTGGCAGATAGCATGGGCAGAGGATAGGGCCACCTAGAGAAGAGCCCATTCAGAGTCTGGGAGCATTCAGCTCAGTGAGAGCACAGGCCAGTGAGCATGTCTCAGGGCTCAGATTAATAGATAGTTCTATAGTCCAGCCTTATGAGCTCCAAGAAGCCAAAGGGCCTCAGACAGAGGCCTGGGATTCACCAGACTGCCGAGAAAGATGCCTCTGTGTACTGGGAGTGGGGAGGGAACAGCCCAGGAAGAAAGGGAAGGACACCAGAGCAGGAGGAGTTAAGTCTACACCTCGAACCTTCTAAAGGCCCACAGGTCTACCAAAATATGAAGGCTAGAAGGACCCGTGCTGGGAAAGGAATCATGGAAGATAATTAGAGAATGAAGGCAAAATGAATCAGGAAAGGCTGAAGGGACAGAGCAGAGGGGAGCATTTGGCAGCACCCAAGTAAGGAGTTACATCAAGAACACTACCCAGTCAACCTGGGGGCTTTTATTGGTAACAGAATCGCCTATTGGTAAATAATCTGAGTGTGTGTGACATTCAGTTAAAATTGTGTAACAATCATGGCCAGCCCATGGTTCACTCGGGAGAGAGAGTGTGGTGCTGGTAGCGCCGAGGCCACGGGTTCGGATCCTTCATAGGGATGGCCGATGTGCTCACTGGCTGAGCGTGGTGCAGACAACACCGTGCTGAGGGTTGCAATCCCCTTACCAGTCAAAAAAAACTAAAAACAAAAAACCCCCCACCAAGTCAAGGGTTAAGAGCCTCTAACCAGTCATTTCTAAAATGAAAAGAAAAAGAAAATTATGTAACAATCAGGTAGGCACACAGTTTCAGATTATGGGCAACAGTCCAAGTCCTGAGCAGTGTGTTCTCAATCGCTTGTAAAAGAAGAGCACACACCAGGTAGGATGGGGGAGACCATCAATGCTTACACACAATCCCTGACTGAGATCTCTGAGGCCGAGCAGCCACAGCCCCTACGTGAGCAGGTGCTATCAAAAACAGAGTTAACATTGGGCCGGCCCGGTGGCGCACTGGATAAGTGCGCCGCTTGGGAAGCGCGGCGGCGCTCCCGCCCGAGGGTTCGGATCCCACATACAGACCGGTTCCGCTCACTGGCTGAGCGAGGCGCGGGAGCAGCACCGAGGGTTGCGATCCCGTTGCCGGTCCCCAGTCCAGTACAGGGGCAACACTGAGGGTTGCGATCCGTTGCCGGACACGGAAAAAGACAAAAGACAAAAAAAAAAAACAGAATTAACAGCTCACAAACTTATCCAGAGGATTGGCCAGCCGTGTGGGAACCATGAGCCAGGTGTGGGCAGACAGGGGTTCCTATTGCAATATCAGCCTTTCCCCACCTTCACCCATGCAGCTCAAGTGTGGAAGGAAGACTGTGGAGGGGCACCACACATTTGACCTCTGTAACCTCAGGAGATTCCTGCTGCTCTAATGCTAACATACCACATGAAAAGTGGGGTCCTGGAAGAACAGTGCAGGACCCTGAGAATTCTGAAACTTTGGATCTCTGGGGCTGGGAAGGCTTTGCTCCAGAGTTCTAATTGTAAGAATCCTCTCAGAGGACCGACCCTTTGAGATGAGTGACACCCAATCTGGAGGTTTCCCAACAGGCAAATTGAGAAACGAAGGTCCCTAAGAGGACACTGGAACCAAGTGAGTTTACACCTTTAGTATCTTACATTCCACCCTTTACTCTAACAAGCAAACTGAGTCTGAGATAGAAATTGAATCCCACTACTTTGACCCCATCCTCCCAAAAGACAATGGGTCTAACTGGCCTTGTGTTACTTTTTTTTGAGTCTGGCCGGTACCAGGATTCAGACCCCTGACCTTGGGTAATAGGCGCACTCTAACCGAGTTAACTCACCAGCCCATATTACCTTATTTACTTTGTTTTAAGGACATAATATTAGGAGTCTGCAGGGTTCAGTCTTCTCTTTCTCACTCTATACACTCTCCTGGAAAGATCCAACCCACTCCCCAGCTTGAACCCAGCACAGGAGCGAGTCCCCGAAACATGCCCTAACCCAGCACGTGCTCCTTGGTTCCAGACCAACCTGTATCTACCCAATGCTTGGGTGTCTTACCAGCTCCCAAGCCAGCACTCCAAGTCAAAAGTCATGACCCTTCCCAAGCCTGCGCCCTTCCCACACACTATGTGTGGGGCATGGCACTACCAGCTGCCAGACACCCAATCGTGGACTGTTCCCAAAAGTCCTTCATCCTGGCAGCCACTTATCTGTCTTGCTCTCCTTCTGGCCTTACGTCTCTCAACCAGTCCCAGCCTCAGTGCAGCCTTCAGCCTCTCCTGGTCACCGTGGCCCACTCGTCCTGGGAAGGCACGAATCTGATCAGGTCACTCTCAAACCCAAGATCCCTTGGCGGCTTCCCACCACTCTCAGGGTGAGAAAATTCAAATTCTTGGGCCTGGTACTCCAGGCCTTCCCTAGTGTGCTGCCAGCCTAGCTCCCTACCTCATCTCCTTCTCTTCACCCCAGCCAGCTGCGGCTGCCCACTGCCCTCTCCCAACAGCTGGTGGACTGGAACTAGGTCCTTGTTACTTCACACATGCTGTCCCTTTGCCCAGAAGGTTCTTTCCCTCACTTGGTCATGCCACTCCTGATCAATCTCCACAATGAAGCTCAAGTCCTTCTCAGAGCCCCAGCCCCACCATAGTCCAGCCGGATGCCATGCATTTGTGCCATAGTGAGCTCTGTCCACCTCATCCATCCCTTCACTGTACTGGAAGCTCCTTGAGGGCAGAGACCAAGTCATACTCAACACTGTATCCACAGAATTTAGCATAGTCCCTCCTCACATGAGCATGAATTCAATAAACTCATGTTCAAAAAATAAAGAAATCACTAAACAATGAATTCAAGTTGGTTCTCAGTAAAAAACCTGAGGTTTTGTTTCTTTGATATTATCTCCATTGGAAGGTGATGTTTGAAACAGCTACTGAAGTTGCTGCTTTGAAACAGCCACTGAAATGGCTTCTTTCTTCCATTTAGAGTTGTCATAACAGAAAAGGTATGCTCAAACAGGTAAAACATTGAACAGGGTAAATGTTAAGTGCTTTTTTACAATCTGCTTCATCATCCTTAAACCAGAAACCATCTAAAGGCAAACACTTAAATATGTCTTCTGAGGTTGGCTCAATCTGTAATGAGAACTAGGAGCAACACCGCATGCTCAAGGTCACCCGAACCTGCTGGACAGTCGTGGCAGGTGTGGTCAGCAAGAGCTAGCAGGTGAACTTGCAGATCCCAGGGGTGAATTCTATTAGTGTTCTGAAAACCCTGCCTAGATCACTAGATTATTTCTGTACCCCCAGAAGGTCGCTCTTAATCTATTTGAAAGCCACTGCACTAATTCACATCCATTGTTCTGACGACAGTGCCTTGATCCATGTCAACAACATTTAGACAGAATCTCCGGCCCACCCCATGCCGGACAATCGGGAAGCAAAGATGAATGCGATGTGGTTCCAGCCCTGTTCACAAGGGAAACAGGCTTCTAAACAGCACGCGCTACCCAATAAGCACTTCATGCAAGGCTTTATCTGAGTGCTGAGGAGATTAGATGCGGATCAACCAGAATAATAGCAAGCGCATGCACAGGTCGCACCACCAACTGGGAAAGAAACCTTTGTGAGGTTTCTTGATCTTTTCTTATCTGGGTTGGTTTCTTCCAGCCTGTGTCCCTTAAAATGAAAAAACCTGTCCACCTGTCTTCAATATCACTGAGCAAACATTTACAGGTCTCTACTATGTGCTGGGGATAGAAGGCGAAAATGCAGCCTTCGCCCTCAGGTGGAGAAAATGGCAACACGTGCTAAATAATGCTACGGGTCCTTCTCCAAACTGTCTGGAAGTCACCTGCTGACTCCCAGACAAACATACAGCGAAATAAGGAAAATCCCCTTCCAGCACCCCTACCGGCCCCGGTAAGGCAGACAGACTGAGGAAAGAGCAACAGCAGCATGGCAACCACAGTCGGTAACGTGTCAGTCAGCCGTACCTCTACACAGAGGGTTCTCAGACCACCTCTAGACTTTAGCGTCAGCCCAGCCAGTGGTAATCCAGGAGGCCCACAGCTCCTGTTTCCGTACGGAGCACGACCACGAAGAAAACCCGTGGCCCGGCCGCCGCGGCCCCCGCCCCGTGCAGCCCATCCCTAGGCGGGGGGAGCCGCTCTACCCTCCGCCTGAGCTTCCTCAAGGCTGGGGGGCATGGCCTGGAGGGGAGCTGCACCCGGCACGGAGGCCACGGCGCGAGCGCCGCTGAACAGGGCTGAGGCTAGCGAGTGCCCAGGCTCAGGTGGACAGGTGTGCTATGCCGGGGCGAGCGGAGGCCCGGGGGCCGCGGGTCTTCGCGGGCAGAACGTATCCGAATATCTGGTGCAACCGTGGCCAGATCCAGAAGAGGATTTCCTACCCGCAGGGACGGAAAACGCCCCGCGGAGAGAGAGACAGAGACAGCCGCTTCCGATAACACCTCGTCCCAGCCCAGGGGTCCGGCTGCGCGGCCCCCACGTCGCGCCCCCGCCGGCAGCCAGGCCACCGCAGCTGCGCTGTGTCCGGAGCCCCCGCCCTGCGCGCGGCCGGGACCCCCGCCCCTCCCCCAGCACGCCCCCGCTGGCGACCCCG